ACAAAGTGTAACTGGATTTCGACGACTCACCAAAGTTAATTTAATTATAGACTACTAATAAATCATATTTATGAGACGTATTCACACTATTTCGTTAAAGTGTATAAGGACTGATGGTGGAATTTTCCCACAATCATATGAGTAAGCCGTTAGCTTACATCGAATTTAACATAGCCTTGCTCCCAAAATGGTAGCGTAGGTAACGTGATCAAGTGTTTTAGCAAATACAACTTTATTACATCTGCAATCCCACCACAGAATGTGATATGGGAAATAGTCCTATTTTTCTTGAAATTCACATCTGCCCTGTGGCTCAAGAGCCCTAATGAAAATGTGGCTTAGTGGTTAATGTATCTAAATGGCACTGAACTAGTGAAATCCGGGTTCTTGTCCCGCTAGGATGAGACATAGGTGAGGTCGAGGCTACGGCTCATGTCTGCATGGATAAGCGTACCTTTTGGGAGGCAAGGCCATGTGAATGTCAATGGAAACGTAATGTCTATCCATATAATTGTGAAAAAATTCAGCGACCACCTCTTCATCACATTAACAAAATAGGTTAAAACATCTCTTAGAAGTTGTTTGACCTTGTTTTCGCAACTCGGTCATATTAGTAAGAAGACTTAGAGAAACACACCTTGTCCGGAGTCCATTGTATGCATCATAATTTCCAGAATAGAACTGTGCACGTGGTACATTTCCAGACGTTTCGCTGGCATCGTCCATGAGTCTCGCCATTCGTAGCACCAAATTACAACTCGTCAAAGAGACAAGTGAAGCCCAACCTTTGACCAAACATGTGCTAAACAGTTGCGGTATCTCCCTTTCTGCCCTGGGGATGTACCACGTCCGCGGTCCTACTCTGCAAATGATGATGCATACAATGAACTCCGGACAAGGTGCGTTCCTCTAAGTCGTTTTACCAATATGACTAAGTTGCGAAAACAAGGTCAAACAACTTCTATGCAGCGAAAGGAGACTGCGACCACACAAAAGGCCACACCATCTTGGTCTTCATACAAAACATCTCTTAATTTAAGTTTGTTGTTTCGACCTCCATTTCATGCGGACTCATGTTTCTTTGTCGTTGTGTGAAGCCCTCTGTATTAGGTCCACGTTGACCCAGTGGTCTAGCTAGTGTCAAGCACTGCTAATGGAATTTTCACACTCTTCCATGAGTAGATCTCAGTTTCAAATACAAATTGTACACATTCTTGTTTCTAAAAAGTTATCCTCAGCCAGTCTGGACTTCAGCTTAGAGTTCACCTAGGACTCATCAACGGCTTCAGCGGAAATCGAACTCTGGTAGTGGTATAATCTCTAATTGCTACCTCCCTGGAAGAGGATACCCTTTGGAAGGCAAAGCTACGTGAAATGAAATTGAACTACGAGGCTTTTTCATATAACTGGGGACACTCAACTATCAATCCCTCTTCACTTTATGGGATCTGGTCTGACAATAACTCTTATTCAAGCTTTACTTATAGTCTCCACAAGCTACCATAACTGAATAGAAATACGGAATTATGAGATGTATTCACCCAATTTCGTTTAAGGTGATGAAGGATTTGTAGAAAAATAATTTTCCCACAATGATATGAGTTAAGCTGACGTTTCCATTGAATTTCACATAGCGAGGTCGAAAGCAAGGTTATGTGAAATTCAATGGAAACATCAGCTCAACTCTTATGATTGTGGGAAAATTATTCTTCTACCAGTGCTTCATCACCTTAAACGAAATTAGGTAAATAAATCTCATATTACTGATTTACTGGTAGTCACGAAAACAATACTTTATTCGAAAAAGAAATACGGAAGATTTCGTGAATTGGGTAAATCTGAAAGTCGTACCCAGATTAAGTGATGGCAAGGCAATAAAAATCCGCAGTTGCAGTTTGGTGAGATTCGCGTTAGTTGCAAGTCATCATAGCGAGCTTAGCTTTGGAGTATCCTTGTAGTCCAGCTACAGTTTATTTCATAATTGTCAAGCTTACTTCTCTTTCGAGTGAAAGTGTTTGGTGAAGAGATGCGAAGGTCGTTCCCACCAGAAGATGGCGGCGGATTCCTCTTGACCAGCTGTCGATTTGCATTACCGGAACATCCTTGTTGACTCTGTTTCCGAGGTAATCTCATCCGATTCCGGTGGAAATATGGTAATTTTACAACAGTCGAAAGCTGAACAATCATGAAACAAGAGAGTCCCCTAAACTTAAATTTTCTTCGCATATACTATTTGTTTCATCAGAATCAGTTGCTGGGCTAACCACAAAAATGAAGTGGCTCGATTTACCCTATCAATGACGTAAATCTATTGGAATTTATTCATTCGCCTATTAAATATCCTCTCCAATTTGGCCAGTTTGTTCCGATCAAAGTAACACAAGTCTCCGGAGGCTGTGCTCTGGAAACATAGCGCCGGTATTCCATCTCACGAAGCAGCTCCGCTGCTCCTTCTCAGGCCAATTATGAATGTCCCCCTTTGTTTTAGCAGCAAATTGAAAGTGTGTAAGCAGGAAAAAGCGAGTTTTTGCAAAAAGATTGATGAAAGCATGGACCGTTCGCTTGATACATTCGACAAAGTGGATATGGTTAGACGATTTCACAATAAGCAAGATTCAAGTGCGAACTGGAGAGAGACTAGACTTGGGCATTGGTGATATCTCCGCGTCTGGAAATGTACCAAATCCACGTTTCGACTGTGGAAATGATCATGCACACATTAGACACTCCGAACAAGGTGTGTTTCTCTAGGTCTTCCTGCTAATATGACAAGGTTGAGAAAACAAGTTCAAATAATTTCTCTACAGAAAAAGGAGACTGCGACCACTCTCGTCTTCATACTTTAGTAATTAGTTGGCCATACCATCCCAGCGCCTCTGCATGTACTCACCTGACAAGCAGATGCGCACAATCGTGGGCAGCAGTCACTCGCGGTGCGATGAAGCGATAGAAGAAGACGTCCAGGCTTTTCTCCACATGCGATCCCGCGCCAATCCGCACATGCTCCTCGTGATCTGCTGCCCACCACCGGCCCTCGGAGTCTGTTCGAGTCAGCTGCACACAAGATTGGCTCGTCTTGGACATATTCCGCCCGGCCGAAAGCCCAGCTGGCTATGGAGACGTATCCGCTCTGGGCAAAAGAAGAGTCTCTAGGCGCATTCACAGCGAAAACAATCTTCAGGAGTTATGTGAGATGTATCACAAAATTTCGTTTCAGTTGATGAAGCACTGGTAGAACTGATGCTTCCATTGAATTTCACATTGCTTTGCTTTCTCCAAAGACGTTCTCATCCAGACTGGACTGCAGCTTCCATCTCATCTGGGTCTTATCAACGCCGTCAGCGGAAGTCGAACCGTGGCAATGGAGCGTGCAATCTCGACAGCTTAACCACTGCGCCACATTGCCACGAGTGCCTTGGGTCAGAGGGCAGATGTGAATTTCAAGCAAAGTTATACTTGCTATGACAATCGGCTGCATTTCCTATTGTCTGTGCTTAAGTATGTTTTCGAGGTTTACATTTGATGCGATGTTTGAGGAATATTAAGGATCCCTTTAGGCACCGACATTTGTCTCCTCCAAATCCCGTCCGAACCACCATGGATACTCTGGCCAGAGGGCCAGTTGTGTCTAGTGCTCTGACGTCCGTCGGCCCAGCTGGCCTCTCCTTTCACATCTCATATTGGAAAGTTGTGTGCTGAATGCGTTCCAAGTTCACATGGACTCGATTTCTACAACTTTAATCATTCCATCTGCTGCTTCGGCCTAGTTGATAGACCTTCAGTTGAATGAGGTCTTGAATAAGGCATTTTATTCAAGATTTAATTATAGCCTCGAAATTCTACTCAAACTGGATGCAAGCAACGTTATTGACTGTAGAAGCCTTGAAAACCTCATCTTCTGTGTAATCCACAAGAGACCGTAACTGTTGAGTGATGAAGGGCTGCATTTTTCCATTGAATTTTACTTTGGCTTGCATGCTCAAGGGTATTCTATTCAAGCTGGACTCAAGTTTCAACACTACCAAGGTCTTGGCAGCAGCCCCAATCTGAGTGGAACCTTGATATTACGGATTGTCTGACAGTTTTGAAGCCCACTCTTAATAAATGTAAGAAACGTAGCCGATGAATAATGAATAATAATGATGCATAATAATAATATACAGTAAAACCTGTTTTTGTGCGATCCTTTTTTATGCGATTTTGTTTTTGTGCGATTGGTTTTGTGTAATTTTATTTTTGTGCATAAAAATAAATCGCACGAAAAAAATTGCACAAAAATAAAAT